TGTAATCTTACTTGGTGAGGAGGAGGAAGAAGAAGGTGCATGTTTGTGCGGTGGTCCGCGTCTCACCGAATCGAATCCCTACCGGAGGAGGAGAGCGAAGAACTGATCGCACTGTAAAGAGGCGCGTGGACTTCACAGCCCGACAATGGTGGAATCTGGAACGAAGCCGTAAAATATATGGCTGCCCCTGATGTGGATCTCTCTGAGCAGTTCGGATTGAGCGCGTGAGGCAAACGAACGGTCCAGATCATAAGAGATTTTGTTTGATATTTTTTATGTTTATCAAAGTTAATAAAATTTGTTCCAATCAGTATTTTCTCAACAACATACGAAAATTAAAATATATTTTCTCACAAAGATAAAACTTTTGTACTATATAAAAGCTAAATTTGTATATTTTTATTCGTTAGAGTTAAAATAAACGAAAAAAATAATATTTAATTATATGATAAGATCATAAGAATATGTTAGATCGATGTTGTAAAACAAAAAAATTATAATGTGTGTAAAGTGTAAGATATCCGTACGTTGAGAATCATAGTGTAAATTTTACAAAGATAATTCGGGTGAATCCCGCCATCTCTATGGTATTTACGTCAAGACTACACAATGACAAAACCAAGTTGATGCACACACTCAAATATTACCCGCTTAATTTAGGCTTTGTATTTCCGTATGCAAACACATAATGGCCAAGTAAAAGAATGGCTTCATTATTGGCTTGGCTTGGCAGCACAAGTAAAAGAATAGCCAAACTCAATGATTCCTTGCTAAGGCCACAGGATTTGAGAGACATCACCATATATAACCAATTTGCACTTGTCTCTGTGTGCCAAATCTTTCGAAAGAGTGGACTTAAGCTTGGATTTAGTTAACATCTCTGTACCGTCGCGGTTATGTGATCCAAATGGGACTTGGCAGGGGGGTTATAACTTATAAGGACTTGACATGCTTATAATTTTGTAAAATTCAAACAACTTCTTTCTCTTTAGCTAGTCAAACAAATCATTGACTAATCTTGTTCAAAGAACATGACAAAATAAAACAAAGAACATGACTATCGGCACCAACAACTAGAACCACCACAATTGGTTGTTCTCCTTCACCTGCGTTAGTAAACGCTCATTCTTCTTCAGGAACATTAGCCTTCACCAAGGCTGCCTCAATTGAGAATGCTACAATCACCAATGTTGATAGCAGCTCTTCTCCAACTGCCACAATCACTACATCATCATTTTGCCTTCCTTCTAATTTGGTAACTACCTCAACTCCTCCTATAGCAAGTTCATCTCATGAAGTTGTACAAGGAAATGTTTTTGGTAGCAATCAATTTGCTACCTTAGACTTAGGAGATTATTCGGGTTATGAGTTGGGTGTCGCCTCTCAAAAGACCCGAGGAGGAAGACCAATCAAACCAACGCAAAAAGTCCAGGAGATGCAATGGACAACCGTAAGTGGACGAGGCAATCAGGGACGTGGTGGCCGAGGCGGCCGCGGACCATCAAATTAGAAGTCTATAGAGACTTTTTCTTCTCTAGATATATTTTCATCTCTTTAAATTCTACTTCATTGTTGTGTTCTTCTTATGTTTAGAAAACTTTCTTAAACTATATACTGTCAAAGTCATATCATTGTAACCGTTACTTTTTGCTTTTAATTTGAAAATTGTTTATCAAAAAAAAAAGACAAAAGAAAACAAAGCAAGAGTAAAACTTCGCAAGAAACAAATTCTATATGTCTACGAAGAGCCGGCCTTGAGGGCAAGCCAAACAAGCATGTGCTTGTGGCCCTTAATTATATTAAGAAAATTTCGGCCCTATCTTCAGTTATTATCCATATGTATATTAGTTTTAGTTTTTTTTATTATTTAATACGCCTTTAAATTTTTTTAGTTTGTGGTCCATGTAATGTCAAGACTGGTCCTGTGTCTAGGTGAATGAACTATAGCTAATTAGTAATCTGGTACCTTTTCCTTTTGCCCAGTGTTGCACCAGGTTGATTGATTTGCACTGAACTTGGAACATATAAGAGGCTAAGAGCAAACAAATGGAAAAGAATGTTTGTGTACATAATCTCCAAAATCAACTTTTTTCAAGTATTTATAACATTTTTTTATTTTGTTTTGCCTTAATATATAAAACTAACCTAAATTATTCCCGCCACTGGTGTTTTCCCCAATTCACCAGTGAAGCCTTTCCATGGTTGGTTTCCTTTG